CCTATCAGCTATAAGAAGCACACGCAAAGAACAATACATCTCTGCTATTTTCACATGCAGAAACACAGCCCTACACACACACTGTGGTTCTAAAGGAAACCCGATTAAGAACATCGACAATAGGAGCTTTTCATAACCTTTTTTAATCCAAAAAGCTATTGAAATTTGAAAAAGTTGTTGGACAAACTTTTTCAAACTCAAGCTTTTTTGATCGTTGTTAATTAACAGCTCTAGACATTAGCTTTTTAACGATTCAATGAGTCATCTTATTTTTCAACCAATTATACTTAAACATCTACAAACATTCAATAAAAAATAAATTGGAAAAGCTTTCCTATTGTTAAAGATACAATACACAATTTGGGTTGCTGTGGATGCTCTAATCACGATCGACTATTAGATTAGACACTGTTTAAAAAGCATTGACAGCCAAGAGATAAAAAAGATGAGATAATTACAAAAGTAGTCAAAATCCTTAATTACTTATTAGCTTTTAGCCAAAAATTAGTATTTATCCGAAATTAGCCTTTAAAACCATAGCTCATTAAGTTAGTCTAAGGTCAACACTACATTGACTATGGTCAACTCTCGGTTGACAACTCTTTAGGGGCAACATGCTAGTGTTTGCTAGGTCGTCTACTCTTTCGTGACCCGTTGGCCCACAATATATAAAGTTGTAATTTTCAATTGTGCTCATTTTGTGTGTATTTATGGTTTGAAATTCTCTCTCAATGGACCCTTCATAGAACTACCAAATGTCACTAAATCTTGAACTTTATTTTTTGTTTTTCTTATTTAGTAGGAGATTTAGTAGATGTGTTTTTTTTTTTGGATAAAAAAAAATAAAAATAAAAATAAAACTCTAGGTTTTTACAAAACCTACGGTGTACAAGCATTCAATGCACAAAACGTGCATTAATTATTTGTACACTGTAGGTTTCTTATATACCTATAGTTTTAGTAATTTTTTTTTATTTGTAGCCTGTATACAATGTATCATAAATGCAATTAATGCTGTTCTTTTTGTTACAAATAATAGTCAAATACCCCCCTCCCAAATTAAAAATAAAAAAAATAAAAAATAAAAAAAATAAAAATGTAGTTTTTTTGGCGAAACAGTAGACCATTTTAAGGTCTACGGTTTGGGAAACAGTATACAATTTAGAGGAAACCATAGACCATAAAATTGTCTACGGTTTCATATATACTCATATATAGTAAATTATGGAAAAAAAAAATCCTTAAGTATTATAACCGAAACCACACACCAATTAAGCAAAACAGTAGACCATTTCAATAACGTACAGTTTTGATGGCTATTTTGGGCTATGTCCTAAATTTTGGCTAAAAATAGAGAAGTTATCAGAAAATTTGGCTAGATTAGAATTTAAGTAAAAAGTAATTATGTGTAACCATCTACATATCGATATCATATGTGTGGGGAATAGATACAAACGAAACTATCAAAAGACAGAATCACGTATTATCATTTCTCCCCAACGACCAGTGTTGTAACTTGAGTTGCATAGATTTATAAGTATACAGTAAAGTGGTTGAAATTTTTACAATTAGAGTATATTTCCATGGTGTACAAACGAAATTCATGACTCTAACAAACAATTTTTTGGCTAGTATTTCTGTAAAATAATACGGGGTAACACAAAGGAATAATAATTAAAGTGATATGACATTCAAATTTCTGAAGAAAACTCAGTTGATATGAATGATTTCTTAGTTTATCATATTATATATTTTATCCATGGAGATTTTTTATTCTTGCTTGTGAAAGTAGATTTCCTTAAAATTATTAGATGAAAAGACTCACATGAAATTTCACGGCTAACTGAAGCTTCTGCATGACCATACTCATCGAAGGGCGATTTCCAGCATCAACCTGAATGCAATCAAATGCAACTTCTTTGAATTTTTCAAAAGACTTCTCATCAATGCCACTGCTTAAAAAGGGATCAATTAACTTCTTCGGATGTTTGTCATAGAGTCTCCACACTTGACCAATTAGATATTCATTCTTATCATCTTCAATTGGCAATGCAAGATAAGCCAAAGTCCCTCTCAACATTTCAAACAAAACCACTCCAAATGAGTATACATCTGCTTTTCCCGAGAGCCGATGAGTTGCGTTGTAATAAGGATCTATGTAAAAATTTGTACCAGCTGGCCTTGTAAACATTTGGGTATGTGTAGAATCTTTTGGACCAAATTTTGACAAACCAAAATCACAAATTTTGGCATTCAAATCTTCATCTAACAATATATTTGCACTCTTCACATCTCTATGAATTACAATTTCTTGATTCTCAAGATTAGAGTGCGCGTGAAGGTTCATGAGTCCGGTTGCTGCCCCTAAGCAAATCTTTAGCCGTTTTTCCCATGTTAAGCTACGCTTCAAATCTGGGCGTGCGAGATGAGAATCAAGGCTTCCTTGGTTAGCGTATTCATAAACTATAATCATCTTGCTGTCTTCATTGCAGTAACCAATGAAAGAAATGATGTTAGGATCTTTGAACTTTGAAACTATCATGACTTCATTATAGAACTCGTGGCTTCCTTGATAACACTGCGGATCAAGACATTTGAAGGCTACATCAGCTTCTGACCATTTCTGTGAGAGTTTACCTTTGTATACAGTACCAAATCCACCATTGCCGATTTGATTTTCGGGATTGAATTCGTTTGTTGCCTTTCTGATTTCTTCCAGAGGAATTCGGAATTTTACTAGCTCTTTCCATGAAGAAGACATTGTTTTTGTATATTTATGATTATGTGTGGTTATGGAAAAGAAACTTTGTGGTTCTATGTATGGAGAACTGAGTTTGTATAGACTTCCTAACTATTATTGCATATGGTTTAATAAATTTAAAAACCGCTGTAGAATCAAGTGCTTCAAGATTTAATTCCCACTACTGCACATGATGCTATTTCTTGTTTATTTTACTTTCGCATGACATAAAATAGATGCAATACGGGGAATCAAACAAATGATAATATATATATATATATATATATATATATATATATATATATATATATATATATATATATATATATATATATATATATATATATATATACACACGAGATGTCTTTGGAGAAGAATTATAACAGAATAATACCGCTTAGGATTTGAGATTTGATAATTAAACGGTAGATATGCGGTATATTGTTACTTCAGACCCAGGTGTTTTGTAGTAGTGACCTTATAACGCATTCTCTCCCCATATATTACTAAAATCATTATATAAAACCACATTCAACCAAAATGGTTAGATAGTCTATAATTTAATTTAAACCCGTAGGAATTTCCATTAGTTGCTTTCTGGTCAACATATCATCAAGTGATCAATAATAAAAGATAAAACTGCAAAAATGATCCACGTGGTTTGTTAAAATTACTACTTTGGTTCAACAAGTTTAGGACTAACACCGTCCAAAATTTTGATTTTGTTGAGAGTCAGGTCCATTTAAAAAATTACTTAAATTGACAAATCCGCCCTCTTGTTTTGTATTTTCCTTTTCTTTTTATTAAAATACTATCCTACCCCCTCTTAACCTTCCCATATCGTCCTCTCTCCCAGTGGCGGATGCTCTTAGGGCCAGAGGGGGCCATGGCCCTCCTGGTTTTAAGGGTTAGAACAGGTACATATATGGTTATTTAACAATAAAAATTCATCAAAATGACTAACGGCCCCCTTGATTTTAAGCTTTACATTCTATAGATAAGTTACTATTTTTTTTTTTGGAAAGTTATCAACCAAATTGGAAGACAATATAACTCATTAACAAAATTACAAATATATCGGAAAATCATAACAAAACAAAACAATCCTTCTTTCAACTATGTAAATGTTAAACACTACAAAAAACTATAATCGTATCTAGTTTACAATTAACTCAAGCTTTGAGTTTAAATAAATCAGTAAACCCTAAAAAATAATTGGTACCGTCAGAAAAGAATTTCTGAAACCTACCCAAAGAATAACACAGTCATCGGAAAGTTCATCTCTTGACCTTTCTTCATGCGCTCTATCTGCTTCCTCTCCACCGGTCACCATATTTCTTTCTTTCTTCGTGAGCTTTCTCTCATCTAGTGTTCACTAGATTACTAATCTTGAAACTATGCTTGTTGCCGTTTTAATTTCTCTCTCGTCTCGTCTCTATCAGAAGTTGTAAGTTATCTCTTCCCTCACAATATCTTTCTATCTCTCACAGTTATTAAATAAGATTGTAATAGTGGGTATATCTCGTATATCTATATGAAAAGACTAAACATACAAAAGTCTAGACTTAAAGCTGCAAAACACTTAAAGAGGCATGTATTACTTTATTATAAAAAAATCAACTCATTCCGGTAATTATTAAGTGTATATAAGATTTCTGTAAACAATAAAAAATCATTAAAATCTATTACAATTTATTGGTTAGAAAGATAAAGTCAGAATGTGTATATATACATATGTTGTATTAACATTTGTGTTTTCTTTTTATCATCAAAACCAGTTGTCAAGAAAAGCAAATACATAAAATAATTTGTTATGACATTATAAATATACGTTTAGAATATATAACGGTTGAAAACTTTTGTTAATTAATTTTGTTATGTATTATTGTGCATCAACATAAATAAACAATATAATCTTGAAGGGTTTGTAAATCGATACAAAAAATTGTTTATATAAATTTCTTTTGATGTTTTGGTTTCGGCCCCCCAAATCATAATTGTTATGTTCCGCCCCTGCTCTCTCCCTTTCTAGTTTTCAAGAAAGAATAACCACATCAACTACCACCTGTCGGAAAGATATGAACAACCACCACCACTAGTTGGAATGCATCATCTTCCTTCTGATTTTCACAAAAAACAAATTCCACTACCACCACCACCACCACCGGTCGGAAGAAAAGAAAATCCTCCATTTTTGTTCGTCAAAGATAACCACTACTGGCGTCGTTGCAAACCCTAGCTCCAATCTGCAACTTCACGAAGTCAATGGTTGAGGGTAACAACGTTGTAACTCGATAAAGACTACACTTGAGGTGACGACGCTGCAAACCATAGCTCTTAAAATTTAGAGAGAACCTCGATGGCAGGCGGCGAGCCGACTTTGCTAATTTTGGTGGTGTTCTAAAAGTGTAGCAGGATTTGGAGATACAAAAGAACAATGCCACCATCTTCATCGATCTGGATTTTAGGTATGTGATGCAAAGGGTGTTGTTCCGCCGACTTCACCTTCACAGTGTCGATCTTGTACCCCAGTGTCTTCATTTTTTTTGGCAAAGAAAGAGAGACGATGGAGTTGGCAGCTTCTTCAGGAAACTCAGTATTGTACTCGAAGACGGCTTCGTCTAGAAACTCAACCCACAGACGTCGACGGCTTCGTCATTGTCGGTAACGAAAAATATCTTAATTTGATCCATAGACAGAGGCTTATGAAAGATCTTGTATGCCCAAGAGTCATTATAGAATCATATTGCTAATAACATATGATTTTATAGGGGCACACCATATACACTTTATAGCAACTTACCACTAATTGATTATTTATTTGTATAATTTGATTATTAATAAATATATCAACACTTATATTTAATTTAAAAAACATTATTTGTATAATTTGATTATTAATAAATATATCAACACTTATATTTAATTTAAAAAACATTATTTCTAGAAAATAATAAAAAGAGAACAAAACTAGCTTAATACACATAAGGTATGTATTGAAATGTTACTTGCAACTTTTTAGTCACTCAAGTTAAGATACGTAACTAGTTAGTTGAATAAAGTAAAGAGCATTTCATTTTTGTCTACTTTAACTTATATGAAATGATGGTGTTAGACATGTCTTTTGATTTGTTTATTACCTCATGCCATGCTTGTAAGAAAGCTACATGCTTCTATTAGTTTATATCCACATTTTGTACTAAGTGTTGGTATAAAAGAAAGCCTTAGGAGATGAGTTTTGCCTAGTTTTTTGTTCACTTATTTCTCCATAAAATGGCAACCAATTTTCGGAATTGGGATGCCATCCCTCTCTTCTTTTTTCTTCCATTTTGGTGCTAGAAATGAAGGCTTTAAAGTTGGTTCTCTTTAAGCACTTATTTGGTATAAGTCTTAAAGCTTAAGAACAACTTATTAACAAGTGTTTACTAGCATATTTTGGTGGTTCAAAGCTTGCTTGGTGGATACATTATAGAGAACTACTACTTGGAGTTTTAAAGTAATCTTCATCAACTTCCTAATTACCAAAAGGAACCAAAGTCTTCAAAGGTTGTTATACTTTCTTCTTCTTTGGTTATGTTTAATTTTCTAAGTTCTTGCAAAATGATCATTAGTGGGTATAAAATGATTTTACTTTATTCAAAACAGAAATGTTTCCATTGATAATTACATCAACTTTTAGACTATAATTGGAGTATTTTTGAATAAAAACCCAACGATTGATATCAGAGCCATTTTTACAAGTTTGGTTAGATTATTTGTAATGTCCCAAAAAATATAGTCCTGAAATTTCATTTTTAAATCAAGTAAAATAGTATTCCAGTCATTATCCATACATCCCAAATAATACAAGTGTATCAAATATCATAAAATCATAGTGAAATATGAAATGCGGTATCCATGTGGTGTGTGTAATGCTGTCACCCTGAGCTCTTCCCCTTGCCACTGGAAGTACCTGAAACATAAATTGGAAACCATAAGCACGAAGCTTAGTGAGTTCCCCAAACTACCACATACCATACATAATAAATCATATACTGGGCCGCGGTCCGACATCAGGCCTCACCCGACATCGAGCCCCACTATCTGTTATTCTCAGGCCTCGCCTGTCACCGGGCCTCACTCGCTATACACTGAAAGAAATCCCTATATGCAACCCTGACAACTCCCCTAGCTATCAGTACAAAATAACACCAAATTTTCACTTGGGTTCCAATCTATGGCCAATAATTCATACTTGGGGTAAAATAACCATTTTACCCCTACCCTAGCCTGAACCAAAACTGAGGCCCAAATCCATAAACCAAAAAGTCCTAAAACCAATAGACCCACAAAGGCCCAATTATGGCCTAATTTTCCAAATTGGGCCCAACTCCCATATGGGCCTTATCCTAAAGCTCAATAATTTCCTTATTCCAAAAAGCTTAATTTCAGATGGCCCAAAAAGGCCCACAACAACAAAGTCAAAAGAAGTGGCCCAATTCTAGGCCCAGAGATGTGAAGCCTAAAAACATAACAAGTCCAAAGCCTAGTTGAGTGTTGTACGCGGGGCGTACGCTCGGTACGATGGGCGTACTGAACGAATCTAGAGCGTGGCCAAAACTCGGTACGTAGGGCGTACGGTCAGTTTATGCGAGGCATAAACTGACTTATTCCAAAACATATGTTATTGTTTAACCACTAAAGCACCTTGCACCCAAACTTCATAGAACCTCAAACTAAAGCTCTTAATGCATATAGTTGCACCTTTATGCATTTATGTGTCTTAATGGGACCTAACAACCATCTTAATCCATTAAGATCCTTATTAATCCAACTAGAACATGCATGGACCAAAAGTAAAGATTAAGATACCATTTTTAAAAACTTACAAACTCAGAAAGGGCAAGATCTAGCAATCGTAGCTCCTAGAGTGGCTCAAACTCACAAAGAGGACTCAAAACCCTAAAATAAGCACAAATCTAGTCCTAAACCCATAAAGCATAACAATAAGCCAAGGTATGAACTTCATACCTTAGATGAGC